AGTTTGGTTATTGAGCCTTTAGATTTTGAAATTTATCTAAATTTCCATTGTTAATAGTAAAATGACAACTTTGAACCTTTTACAAAAAATTTTTTATTAATAAAAATTAAAAAAACTCTCTGATCGGTTATTAATTGAGTGTCTGGAAATACAATCATGGAATGGTTATTCACACAGCTTGTTTGGTTATTGAGCCTTTAGATTTTAAAGTTTATCTAAATTTCATTTTATAGTGAAATCAACAAAATTGATAACTTTGAACCTTTACAAAAAAATTCTTTACTAATATAAATGAAAAAAACTCTCTGATAGGCTATTAATTGAGTGTTTGGAAATACAATTGAGCAAAGATTATTCCCACAACTTGCTTGGTTATTGAGCCTTTACGTTTTAAAGTTTATCTAAATCTTCAACAATTTTACTATCCCTTAAACTGTCCACATTTTCGAATAAGGGAATTTCGAAAAATTATTGGTAAATTACAAAATTCCACCAATCAAAATTAACCAAATCGCACAATAAAAAATTTTATTATGAATATACAGTGCGGATCATCTATACTCAAAAGTTAAAATTTTTGAAATATTATGTGATTCACACATTGGATTTTAAAAAACTTACCACCATTCAATTCAGCTTTAAAAGTGGAGTCTATTAATCTAAAAAAAAAATTTTGTCTCACACATCCTATTTTTCCTTTCCTAACTTGCTAAAAGATGAAAGATCTTTTGGCTCTATTCTCTTTTGAAGAAACATCAATAGGAAGTTGCTCCCTGATTTCTCTTCAACATTGCTATTAGCATCATTCACATTATAGGATTTTTATAGTAGGTCTAAGGATGTTAGCCAAAATGGATTTTGAAAAAAACAATTTCGGCAAGCAATTTCAGATTTACAATATTCTTTATATCTATAGGCATAAAATACTACTGCGAGCGTGCAATCCGAGTTTCCTACTTAATAGGTTATTTATAGCTCAACACACAGCCTCCTCGCTGACTTACGGTTGATTCTATTGTTTGACACACAGCCTACTCGCTGACTTACAGTCAATAATTAATAAAAATTTGACTTTTATCTTTTCAGATAAAAGGGTCCCTAGGTTCTATATATATAATTATATCCCAAAGGCACCCCTTTGAGATGTCTCTTGGTAGTTAAGATATGGGTTAACTGCTATGGGCAGCAAAGGTTTCCCTTTGGTGGTTTATTAAATTAATTAGAGATTACTATTTAGGGTAAAATATGTTATGTGTTTTATTAGCGATAATAATATTATTATTACAATGTGTTAGGAAGTATTAATTATTAGATTAATAATTAAAAGATTGTTATGAACATGATTTTGACTTGGTCTAAAACCAAGCCTATTTATACCTCTTGAGGTATTACAAATAACATGACTTTTACTCTAGTTTGTCCAATAAACTATGCTTATTAATATAAAATAAATATTTGGGT